TTAATCAATTTATCTGGTTGTTTGTGTTGATGACTTTTATTCAAAATGACTATTATAGAAAGTTAGTATTTATTTAAATTAGTGATTAAATTTCTTATTTGAAATGACGTCTATTATAAAACTGCATACCATTTCGGGGGCTATGGATGAAAGCCCCCCATGCTACATTCTTCAAGTTGATGAGGTGAAAATATTATTAGACTGTGGATGGGATGAAAAATTTGATCCTGATTTTATGAAAGAACTTAAGAGGTAATGTTGCTTTTTTAATGCACTATTTTTTTTTTGCTTATTTTTACATGAATATTCACTTATAGGCATATAACACAATTGATGTAGTTTTGCTATCATATCCTGATGCCAATCATCTAGGAGCTCTTCCATATATTGTCGGTCGACTAGGTTTGAATTGCCCAATTTATGCAACTATACCAGTTTATAAGATGGGACAAATGTTTATGTATGATTTATACCAGTCTCATTACAATGCAACTGATTTCAATATTTTCACATTGGACGATGTTGATGCTGCTTTTGACAAAATTGTTCAACTTAAATATAATCAAAGCGTAGCCATGAAAGGTTATAAATAATTCTAAAGTATTTAAATTGTTATTATATAATGAGCCTCATTTCTTAAATATTATCCTAGGAAAAGGTTACGGAATCACAATTACGCCACTACCAGCAGGCCATATGATAGGTGGTACTATTTGGAAAATTGTCAAAGTATTTATAGAAAAATGATTAAATTAAATAGAAATATGATAATTAGTGCCTGTTAATCTGTTGTAATTTATTTAGGAAGGCGAAGAAGATATTGTATATGCTGTAGATTTCAATCATAAAAAGGAACGGCATTTAAATGGATGTGAATTAGAAAAACTACAAAGGCCTTCTTTACTTATTACTGATGCTTTTAATGCGACATATCAACAGGCTAGACGTAGAGCAAGAGATGAAAAGCTTATGAGTAAGTTGAAGTAACTGTTTTGAATGTAACATAAATGTTCATATGTTTTGCATTTGTAACTATGTTTTTTACACATTTTTTATGTTAATCAATACATGAACTATAACTAATTTAATTTTTTCCAGCTAATATACTTCAAACACTTAGGAATAATGGTAATTTTAGTAGCAGTTGATACTGCTGGTCGTGTTTTGGAA